TGAACAAAACAACTATGTCGAGGGTAGACCCCGGCAGACACAGTGGCAACAACAATGGGCTCAAAGAGCAAAAATTATAATGATGGCGTTCTGTTGTACATAAGGTTACTAAGAGTCAGAATCGACTGGATGGCACTTAATAAAAGAATAAAGTAACAGCCTGAATTACTTATTTTCTGTCCAAGTTCTAGATACCTGGAATTTAGTTAAATAACAATTAGTTCTTTTAGATAAGAAAATGCTATTTTTTACCTTGATTATCTTTTAATGTATAGTATTATTGTATTTTTACCTCTTAAATTTTATGAAAATGAAATCTTCCTTAGTTTAAATTTAGCAACTGTTGTTATCTTTGTCTGCCTCATAAATCAGGTCCCAAAGAATGAATCTAAGATGAGGAAATAAATGGATAATCTCGATTGTTTAAGAATTTTTCCTTTATAATACATATTAAAGAGATGTAATTTCTTAGAACTTTAAAGACTTTTTTTTTTTTTTTTTTAATCTGCTTATCCTTAAGATTTTGGTTAATCAGATTTGTCTGATCTGGCTGTTTAGACTTTATGCTTTTTCCTTTCTTTCTTAAAGGGCTGCTTTGTGTTTAAGCCAAATTTTAAGAAGAGAAAGATCTCTGTGCCAGTAGGTAAGATATTTTAATATCAAATTGACTAGTTTAAGTTAAATCTTAAATGGTAAGAACTAACTCTAAATTGAACTTACTTATTGTCTTGTCTGTCTTGATTTACCATGTTGATGTAGCATAGATTAAAGGAATAAGGATTCTAATTTAAAGGGGAATCCAAAATACCTTAAAAAAGCAAGTTGCAAAGTAAGTTTCCTTCAAATTTCATGTTACTATTTTTTATAGTGACTGCATTAAAAGTAAATCTGTAGCTGTGTTGGGTGAGGTGAAGAGAACTGACTGAAAAACTGGCTTCAGACAGGTTTGAACTGGCTCACTCATTGCCAATACAATAAAACTGGAACAGATTTGAATTTTTAAATATGGATGAATTGAAACAATGAGTAGAGTAAGAAACACTAGGGGTTGACTCTCTGGAATGAGAGATGTAGTTGTTGTTGTTGTGAAGTGCTGTCAAGTCGATTCCAACCCATAG